TGGTAAACTTCTTGTTCCCATGTTATATTATTTATTTTTCTCCTTAATATTCCATAAGGAATATGTTATCAATTATGAATTTTATCTTCAGGATAATAAATTATAATATAGCTCTTCTAGAGCATTAGTTTTTATCTTTTACCCAAATAGTAGAAACCTGTGCACTCATGGAAGGTTGAGCGCTACTAGCTCTTCTGGAGCTTTTTTTTTTCAAAAAGAACATGAGATATAAGGAATGACATTAATATTAATAATAACAAATTCCATCCAACATGATTCACACTTGTATTTCAACAATCTCCCCCTCAAGTGTAAGTCATATAAATATATTTTTCTTATTTCTGTATTTCAAATACAATGAATAATATATAGTAAGCTAATAACATATCTTTAACTTGACAATCCAAATGCTTCCTGATTCATATATAATAATAGATTTCAATCCAATTGAGCTATTACCTTAAGACCCTTTGATAAGTACATATTCTAATATAAATGTTTATGGGTCATAATTTTTTATCATCAATTTCTTTTCTGCCCACAAAAATAATGGGGGGAACTACATTAGTTATTCAAGAACTATATCGATTTTGTTACTAGTTCTTCAGGAATTATATCAACATTTTGCTATTAGTTCTTCTGAAACTATATCAATCTTTTGTTATTAGTCCTTCTGGAACTATATCAATTTTTTGATTACATATAGTTTTTTTAAAAAAAATGCTATATATTGTTCTTCAAGAACTAAAATATATTATTATTTCACTATATGATATACTTCACTTTTTGTTATACTTTTTTTTTTCCAAAATATGAAGTATTTTTTTGAACAAAAAATATATATTTTCTCGATATTTCGTTATGCAAAAACTTTATTTCCTTGTATATATTATGTAACGCTTCAAAACTTATTCATAAATTTATAAATTCAACAAAAAAAAATCTATAAGGACTAAAATCAAACTATATAGTTAGGAAGATTTGAATTATAAGCCTTTAGGGCTATTTATAAGTTATTAGTCTTCAAGACTCTATATTGGAAATTATATATATTTTTAAAGATCATTTGTGTCACTTCATATTTAAATCATAAGCCTTCAGGGCTTTAAAAACATCATAAGTTATTATTTTCTTGTCATTCAATAACATGAGTGTAATGGCAGCTGGCCATTTAGTAATAAGAAAATTATAATATTAATAAATATCAAATTGAATGTCAAAAATATATGAGAATAAGATACAAATAAAACTTGAATTTCAAGCTAATTAAATGTAACATGAAATAAAGAAAAAAGTTAAACTCTTTTACCAATACATTCTTCACTATATAGTCATTAGTTTTTTGAGCTACATTATTTATAATTCTAATTCTTATAATTTTTCTTTTATAAACAAACCATATAATGATCATTCTCATAATCAAAACTATATGGTTTTAGGCCATTTAATAAAGAAAATAAAGATACATGGCATCTAGCTATTTAATTTCAAAATAAAAAAAATTAAAGATATATGGTTTTTGACCATAAGATAGAACTTTGATGTTATATGGCTTCAAGCCAATTAATAAAATAACAAAATTAAATATTTATGACTTCTAGTCATAAGATAGAAAATCAAAATTATATGAATGCGAACCATTTAATAAGATAAAAGAAAAATTAAATATATATAAATGGCTTTTGGTTATAAAATAGAAAATTCAACATGATATATAAAATAAAGAAAAATTATATATATATTGATATAACTTCTGGTCATAAAATAGAAAATACAAATTATATGGCTTCTAGCCTTTTAATGAGTAAAAAAAAATTCAAATATCTATGGCTTCTGGCCGTAAGATAGAAAATCAAATTTATATGGCAACTAGCCATTTAATAAGATAAAACAAAATTATATATATATGGCTTGTGGCCATAAAATAGAAAATTCAAATTACATGGCTTCTAGCTATTTAATGAGATAATAGTAATCAAATATATATAGCTTCTAGTCATAAAATGGAAAATTTATACCGAATTACTTCTAGTTATTTGATAAGATAAAATATCAAATATATATATGGCTTTTAGCCATAAGATAAAAACTCAAAGTTTTATAGTTTTTGGCTATAATATAGAAAATTAAAATCATATGGCTTTTAGTCATTTAATTTGAAAAGAATGAAAAATCTAAGTTATATGGCTTCTAGCCATTTAATTACAATGGGATAAAAACTTAGAATTATATGGTTTCTGGTCATTTAACTTTAGATGGTAAATCTTTACAGACACTGCTAGTATCTATTGGAACTTCGGGTTCCATCAAAATAGTAACATTAGGTCAATAAGAAATAGAGGGGAAAAAATCTCCAATCATAGCCATGGAACCCAATGTTTAAAACAACGGTAGATAATCCTTTTAATTCCATATAATGGTTTAGATTATCCTAGATAAATTGAATAGGAATACAGATACTCTGAAACATCATATATATGATATTCGAGGTATTTTTATTTGAATAGAGCAAATGATACTCTAGAAAAATAATAAAGACGATGCTCTAAAGTTATGATGGGGTAGAAAAGTATATCATATGCACCTTGGTTAGAACTTCGTGCTGATAACGTATTATGAATAAAGAAGAAATAGAGAAGAATCATATAGAGGAAGTGAGGATCAATAAGAGAGAGTATTTCTCATTCCATGCAAGAGTATTCAATACATTATACATGGCCTCTATTTATAGACACAGCTTTACACCTTTGATAGAATCTACAGATTACATAATAATAGGAGATAATTATGGGATATAGAGATAATGGGAGATATGAGAGATTATAGGAAATATAGGAGATAATGGGAGATATATAGACATCCACAAAGCTATTATTATATTCATAACAATAATTATTATTTTTTGCATTATATACATGTCAGTTTATCTAGTTAAATTGTTTGTGAGATAAAAAATAGATGGTTGTGAAAGTTGAGTATTTGTATGAATAATACTCCTCTGGTCTTATTTATATGACAGAGAGAGAATTTTTTTGGTCCTATTTTTCAGCATGAATGCACTATTTTGTCCTTAATTTATTATAGTGTAGGTAGTTATCTCTTTTGAAAGGTGCACATATTAAATATGGGTTAAGTTGAAAAAATTTTATATTTTAATGGAGAGTTAATGTATTTTAAGGTTTTTTTAGCTTGTGTGAAATATGGTAGAAGTGTCTTATAAATAGGACTAGAAGAGTATATTGTTTCAAATAAAAGTTGTTTTAAATGACATTAATAAAGTTGTGAAACTTAGTGAAAAGGTTGTCAATGCCATTAATAGTATAGGAAACGTAGCAAGTGCTGAAACATTTTCGACTAATTTGTAAATGGAGACCACTCTTGCTTGTGTGAATTTGGGAACCTCAATAGTTAGCTTAGCTTGTAGAAGATTTTTCTTCCTTTATTTCTTTTTTCTTGGCCCTTGATCAATGCAGATGTAGCAGCCTTGTATTTTCCCTTATATTCTAGTTGATATACCAAATGTAAGTAGTGTTGTTTGATTTGACCAGTATAGGAAAAATTATGGCTGCGTCTTTATGTCATTTGCCAGAAGGAAAAAGGTTTATATTCAATTTGATGACAAGTTTAAATGATTTTATTATTGGGATATACTACTTCCAGTCCTTAATATAAGAACTCATTTGATTTTTATTTTAGTTCTAAATATAAGACCTCAATTCACTTTATCTCTCATATTTATCCATTTTTTTCAATATAATAATAGTAGTTCTAGCTAATATACTTGATTGGCAAGGATATTTTAGAAAAGAAAATATATATTTATTACAAATAACGAACCTAATTAGTTTTTTTAATCTACTCAAATTAGTCAACTAGCTCTTATATTAAGGACCTGAGGGAGTACATATGTTTTGGCAAACTGTTGAGTCCTACTTCACTTTACACAGCTTGCCTTGTACATTGAATTCCTCCTCTAACTCTTCAAATTTCTAATTTACATAATGTTTGATGGCTGTTACGTGCGCTTATCTCATTCATTGGTTGAGGCATCAAAAGATGAATCCGATTCAATAGTCATCACTAGCCAGGGGATCTAGGAGGCTATATCTTGAGATCACTCATATATTTATGATGTGTTTGAAAAAAATAAGTTCTCCACTCTAAGAATACAAAATTGTTAAACAAATAAATTCTGAGTGACACATGCATAAATTAATTACACAATATTTAATTATTATCTTGAGATGGTTCTTATTCAGATTGTGAAACATCCTTACAACACAACACAAGTAGAGTAGGGGAATGCATTAAGTATTCAGAGGACGCATCACATATCACATAGTAATAATAGGATTTTGATTGAGATCTCCAACATAACTTATATGAAGCCATGGAATGGAACAAAAAATATGCGGTTTTGGCATGGCAAGCTTCCTTAAATACTTGCTCCATGATTGGGCGAGCACGTAGATTTTCATTCAAGCAAGTAGAAGCTATTCTTGCAATCAGCATCACCCTCTTAGCCACTGAGCCTTAAGGATAAGGTAGCCTTTAGTCTAACACTTGCTTCAAATCCAAATCATGAGCAACTATTTTTGGTGCTGCACTAGAAGATGTTGAGGAGAAACAAGAGATTATAAAATCTCTTGGATGCTTTACCATAATTATTTCCAAAACCAACACTCTAAAGCTATAAACGTCACATTTCTCGGTCACTTTCATTATGTAAACAAGTTCTATAACAAAACCAAAAATATTATCACGAAAAAAATATTGTGAATAATAAATTTTTAATTGTTAAAAAATGAAAACATGAAATATAACACCATACAAACTCAAAAGTAATGAAAATCATGTAACATAAAAGATTCTTAACTTGGAGCAACATAGCCAAAGGTGCCAGCAAATGAGGGGCATTGGTAGAATTTGGATACAAAAGTTTGGATTCCAAAGTTAGAGATGTGAGTCTCATAATTTGAGTCTAAAATAACATTTTTGCTTCATAGGTCACGATGAACTATTAGAGGTGAGCATCCATGATGAAGATAGTATGAAGCATTAGCCACCCCTTCAACAACTTTGATTGTTTTAGTCCAATCCAATGCAATTGCTTGTGTCTCTTCTCTTAGTATCTTGTCCAAATTGCCTCCTTCTAAGAATTCATAAACCAAAAAGGAGACCTTTGCATGCCAACAAAACCAATATAGCTTGATGATATTATGATGCCTAGTTTCTATCAACGCTCTAATCTCACTCATAAAAGCTTTGTGATAACACATATCCCTGTCTAGTCCTAAATGAGGCTTCTTCACAGCCACAACTTGACCTGTGGATAATTCTGCTTTATAGACACTTCCAGATCCTCTCTCCCTAATGAGATATTTTTTGATGAACTCCTTTGTGGCTTCAATAATGTTTCCATATACTAATTTCCCATCATCATAACTCCATATAGCAAACAAATTTTGAGTTTGCACTTCTCTTTTGTGACTTTCTGTTTTCCTTGCTTTGTGATGGAAAATAATATATGAAATCCCAGCAAAAAATGTTGCTAGCATCACAGCTCTCAAACTGAAGGATACAACATAGATCACCACTTTCCTACTCTTGGAATGGCTTGAGTCAAAATTTGTTGTTGGGCAAATTGATAAGCCTTTGTTGCCCTTCAATCTCTCCATTATAGCTCTACAAAAGGCTAAAATATTTGGAAGTGGACCTTCTAATTTATTGTGATATATGTCAACTATAGTCAAGCTTTTCAAGTCATCAAAAAATGATGGGATCTAGAGAAATTGTTACATGAGAGGTTCAACGTTTCCAATTGTTGTAGCTTTCCGAGCATTGCTAGGATTCTGCTGGTAAATGGGTTTCTACTAGGATCAAGAGACCAAAACTATTGCAGTCAGCCAAAACTAATGGGAATGCTGAAGAACTTATTTCCACTTGTTTTCAATTCCCATAATTTGGTCAACCCTCCCCCAATTGTTTTGGAATTAAGCCACTTAAGTGATTGTTAGCTAGACTTAATTGTTCAAGTTTCATTAACAATCTTATCTCAATAGGAATGTTTCTTGAAAGTTGATTGTTGCTTAGCCTAAGTTCACTCAATAATGACAAGCGACTCAATTCCTTTGGAATATTTCCTATGAAGTGATTTGATAAAAAAAAATCAAGTCGTTGTAACTTTGTTGCCTGACCTACTTATGGTCATATGTCCCCTGCTAAGTTATTATCATATATCTCAAGGTTTGTAAGGTTATGGCACTGCTCCCATGTGGGTGACAAGTGGCCATAAAGTGCACTGTTACTTAAATCAATATATTCCTAGTGTGCATATATACTGAAAGTTTCCGTGACATTCCCTGTAAGTTGATTACTGTCTAGCCTGACTCTGATAAGCCTAGAGCAATTCTTCAAACTTCTCAGAATTGGACAAGTGAATTGATTGTTATTTACAGAGATCTTTGTAAGTAATCCTCCAAGGCAAATGTCTTAAGGAAAATGACCTTTGAAATTGTTGCCTCCAAGTTGTAAGCTTTCTAATTTCCTAAAGGTTATTCATTTCTGGTGGAAGATTGCCACTAAGTTTGTTTTGAAGCAAATTTAGTATGGAGAGTTTAGTCAAGTTTCCAATGCTAGACGAAATAGATCCAAAAAGGTTGTTTTCATAAAGAAGGAGGTCACTTAGATTGATCAATTTCCCTATGGATAGTGGGATTGATCCCGATATGTTATTGCCTAACAATTGCAATGTTCTCAAAGAATAGAGTTCACCTATTTCCTGCGGAATTGACTCTGAGATTTGATTGGAATATAGATAAAGGTTTTTTAAACTGGACATGTTTCCGATAGCAGTAGGGATGCTACCAAAGAGATTGTTTCTTGACATCATTCCAATCTCATGAGGGATAGAACTAGTAAAGTGATTGGAATCTGATTGGAATCAAGATAAAGCTTTTGTAAAATGGATATATTTTCAATCTCATGGCCGATAGAACCAGTAAGCTGATTATGTCCAAGTGTTAGGAATTGGATGTTAATCAACCTACCAATTTGTGGAGGAATATGACCATAAAAGTAGTTGTCTTCAAGATGCAGACATAATAACTTGACTAAAGTTCCCATTGCCATTGGAATATAGCCAAAAAAAATTTTGTTTGCTAGGTCAACCCATGACAGTTTAGTCAAATTTCTTATAGCTTTAGGAATATGGCCACTAAAATGATTATGACGTAAGCCCAAAACACCAATCCTAGTCAACCATGTGATCTCATGTGGAAGTGCTCCAGAAAGATTGTTATGACCAAAAGAAAGAAAGGTGAGTGAGGAGTGATTGGCAATACATGTTTGAATGCTACCAGAGAACTCATTAAAGGAAAAATCTGTGGAACTAAGTTTGGAGAGTTGACTAATTTGGAGAGGGATGGTCCCATAAAATGAGTTATTTCGTATATCTAAGAATTGGAGATGGGACATAGATGAGAAATTGAGACTATCAAGCGTACCTCTAGTCCAAGATCTGGAAGAGATATATTGGAAATGGAGTTGAGCTCATTGCATGCAATTCCAACCCATTTACAAGGACGACTGCTGTTATCGTTCTATAAAGATAACACAGTTTGGCTTTGGTGGTCAAGGCTGACTTTCCGCTTGAGCAAATCATTTGCTTCACTGTTTAGTGATGAGGTCATGAAAGAGGAAATAGGAGATGGGAACAATTTTGAAAGGCCAACTAACAGCACCCACCAAAGTGTTAGCTTATCAGAAAATTGAGATTTTCTAATGGGGAACCCCATGGCCATGAAGGAAATTTTAAACGAATCGAGAATGGTGTAAATGCAATGCGTAGTGAGAGGTATATATAAGGAGATGAATTAACAGTCATTTATCCATTGACTTGACATTCCTAAAAACTACGCCTCTGCATGCATGCAAACCAGCTGCTTAAGATATTTAACGCAGTAAATTATTTATAATGATTCCGATTCATTTGCCAAAATAGCATATGATAGACAAACCAACAACATGCGTGACTGTACATGTAGTCAAGCTAATTGTGGACTTTTCTTGTGACTTGAAAGTTGGAGCAACTTATCGAGAAACCAGCCCAACGGCTAATCATGTTGCTATAGAAAACAAAAGTTAAAAACTTTGAAAAGTAGGAGTGGATGGACTGTTCTGATTTATGAGTTAGGGTGGCGGAGCCATTTTAGTTAACGATTGCAACATTTGGGCCATATTATGACTATGAGACCGACCTCATTCGAAGAGAAATTCTTGGAGGTTAACTTGTAAATTGCCAAAGTTTGAGCTGTAACTACCAAGTATCAATATTTGAAAAAAGTTGATTTATAATTTTAATAAGTTTATTTGTTATTAAATGGATTGTTTCATTGTCAATCAAACAAGTTTCTTATAAATAAGGAGAAAATAATACATTCATAGTAAAAATTTAATGAGGTAACTTATAAATAAAATTAAAAAAATATTTTTTTTATATCTTATACATAAGATCAGAGGAGTATAATTTTCACCAAACAAATCATATATAGAATTCTTCATTTTACAGTGGCATAACTGTGCATCCTTTTTTGTTGGCTTTTTTACTTCTTATCATATATTCTTATGTGTTTAAATTCAACATAAATTTACTTGTTAATAAATATTATAGTATGAAAGAATGCAATACTTAATTTACATGATATGAAAAGTATTATATATATTGGCACGAAAAAGTGTCATATATTTATTAATACTTAAATCTTTTAATAGATAAAAATATTTTATTTTTGCTAAAAAAAATCCTCAATTTGTTACAAATTTAATTTGATCCATTTGCCATTTGGGATCAAAATGAGCAATCTTAGTTACAAATTTAATTTATACGAAAACAATTAAAATTTAAATAAAACCAAACGAACCTAAAATTTGATCCTTCAAATGAACCCCTTAAAATTTATATTTCGCGGATCGATCCTAAACTTTGTGATTTGCTTACTCTTTTTTTTTTTTCTTGAAAAAAATTATCATATTATTTTAACTTGCTTTTTTGGCCTAGTATTTTAACTTTCTCTATTAAGTTTTCAATACAAATTTTCATATGGTCTGAAATCATATTTCATATTGATCTTCATGATATTAACTTTAAAATAATACTCTCCTGGTCCTATTCAATTACTAGTCACACAATATATCGAAAAATTATTTATGATAAATTCATATAAAAAACTAAACTAAAAATACACTCCCTACAATCTTGCATATAAAAACTAGTTCAGAAATTTGTTTTGATCTCAAATATAAAATCTCAATCCCCCCCCCAAATATTTAGCTAATCAAGCACTTCTCTTAAATTCCATTTACGTGTAGAAAGGACTGGCAAAAAGAAAAATTACGTGTAGAAAGGGAAGAAGAGAAACAGTGATGGTGCTCTAAGAAAGACTTGGTCTTCTGAGGCTTTATTTTCAGCTTGCGCCTTGGACGACTTGAAAAATAACTCTTGAAAGATGGAAAAATCAACTAATGTTTGTGGGAGTTAGGGGCTTTTTGAATTAATTGATGATCGATAGTACATCTCGAGAAAGTGATGCCCAAATCTGCACTTTTCTCATAGCTAAGTAATTATGTGTTCGCATTTTATTTGAATAATTAAGTTTAATCTACATATGAATTTTAAGGGGGAAACCATTTTACAAGTATATGTGCTTTTTCTCAATTTTGATGGCACATGTACATTTTTTATTTCTTTTTATTAAATCATCTTTTAACTTTGCTTTGTTAGCCATGTACTTTAAGAAACACAGTGAAAGGATCAATGGAGGAAATAGCTAGATTTTGATTTCAACCGCAAGAAATATCCAACATCGTGTGTGACTGTGCATGTAGAAGAAATTATAAGCTGACTGGGGACTTCCCATAACTTACAAGTTGGGGCAACTTATATTTTCTAAGTGGAAGACTTCGAAATGTGGAAGTGCAGGGGCCATTTACACATTTGAGCCGCATTATGAGAGGGACTTCATTCTAATATTCTAATAGAACCAGTTCAAAGTGCATAATCTCAGTAGGCCACAATATAAAGAATAAACTACTACCTTTATTTTTTACTCTTTTTTTTTTTTTTGGCCTCAGACAAGAAACTACTGTTGAAAATGTAATTTAATGGCTAATATATCATATTCGTAACTTTTTTTGTTAAGTTTTTAATACTTACTTTACATAAACTATGAAATTATATCTAATTTTAATCTTCATGATATTAACTTTCACTGCCAAAATATTGACTTTCAAATGACAATTCTAAAAAGTCGCTTCTGAAATTTGACTTTTAGCAGCGATAATTTAAGTTGTCACCGGAAATATAACTTTTTGTGGCGACAATTAGAATCGCACTTACATACATAAGTTTTAACTGTGACTTTAGTTGTCACTAGTGAAAGTCACACTTTTAAGTCGTCATTAAAAGTGTGACTTTTCAAAACTATTTTTTTTTCTTACTAGCAAATATAATTTTTATTTAAATATAATATTTAATATCTCAAAATACTAAATATATGAATTTATGATGAAAAAAATAATATAAGGTAATGATATTTCATTTTCATATGATTTATGTTTAAATCAATACTTTAATTAAAATGTATTGTACATTTACAATTGTATATTATATACTCCTCTGGTTCTTGATATATAATCTAATTTGAGGGTTAATATTAGTCTTATATGTAAGACATATTTTACATGTTTATCAATTTTTTTTCCAATTAACCCTATTAATATTTTCTCAACAATGATCAAGTAGGAGAGGGAAGTAGGAAATTTAGAAAGATGCTTGGTTATTTTAGAAAAAAAAATCATATTAACTAATTTAACTAACACCCTTAGTCTACTTAAATTAGTTAATTAAATCTTACACTAAAGAATAAAAGAGTATGTACATAAATGCTTCTATTGTTTTACTGTCTACTTAAAAACAATTGTTCCACTAATTTGATAGATAAAGTTTAATACATTGTATGTATTTGTCTATATAAAATATAATTGACAAAATGAGTTTCAACGATTTACAATGATCATAAGAAAGTGATTTTCAACAGTAATTTTTTAAAATCGTCATATAAAGTTTGAGTTTCAGTGACCACTTTAACTGTTATTGTTGAAAGTTACACTTTTAGTGGCGATTTTAGAGGTGTTAGTTTTTACAACTATTTTTTTCTCACCAACAAATATAGTTTTTTTGTTTAAATATAGAGTAATATCTAACATCTCAAAACATTAAATGTATCATTTTTTGATAAAAACATAAAGGAAGAATCCCACAAGAAGACGCTTGAAATTACTAAATCTTAAATCATGTTTGGTGACAATACTTTACTTGGTTTTAAGAACACTAAATTTGTAAATAACAACAAATCATGTATTTAAATCTTTTATTTGACATTTAGTAATTTTAAACTTCTTTTTATGAGATCCTCACAAAAATAAAATAAGGTAATGATATTCTGTTTTCATAATGTAGACTTATAATTAAAAATTTAAAATAATAAAAAATGATAATATAATATAAATTTTTTAAAATAAATTTTAAAAAAATTAGATAATTAACTAAAAGAAAAATAAATTATTACATCCATTTTTTTCAAAAAGAATATTCTAAATATTATATCAATATATAAATTAATATATGTGTGTGTTAACGTAAAAAACGTTGTGATGGGAATACACACAGATATATATATATATATATATATATATATTATATACGCAATGAGTTTTCATACTATCTTGAACTGTAAATATAAATAATATAATTTTGCTGCTACAAAAATATAAATAATATAACCTAATCTATATTTTTTTTCATAAAATTATATCATCATTAATAAGCATAATGTAAAAAAAAATTATGAATAAACTCTTTAAAATTATATAATTAATTTAAAATAAAAACAAATTTTAAAGTAAGGAAAAATAGTTCATGTCATCTAATCTATAATATTATAAATATTAATCTGTCAAACAATTTATTAATATATTAAATAGATATTATTAATCAGTAAAATAAAGTTAAAATATATTAAATAAATAATATTAATTTAATTACATTCATATTTTAATTTATTAAAAATATATTTTAAATATAATATGAATATATATATTAATATCCTATTTTATATTTTAATACACACACATTATAACATATACGTATACGTTATATATTTATATATTAAAATTATATTTATTTATATTCATATATATATGTGTATATAAATATTATACTATAAATAATATACACACATGTGTATGTAATATTTAACGATATATGTATATATATTTAATTTTATACCTCAAAAATGCAAAGTCCTTTAGGCAAGGCATTACGAGGAGAAAATATTGGGTTGATGATGTGGAACAATGAGGTGATGACTTTTTTGTCAAAGTCAATTTTTTTGTAGTATTTATCAAGATTCTAAAAACCGGACCAATAACTAAGATTGTAGGTCAAGAGTTAGTGGGTTAGATCGGAGTCAGACTGGGAATCAGACCGATATTAATTAATGTAATATATTTTCACACATATATATATGTTAGTTATTTTAAATAAAAATAAAGATAAAATATAAAAACAAATATCAAATAATAAATACATGTGACTTATTTTGTAACTATAATAATATGTATAAAATAAAGGATATATATTCCGAGAATTATATGTGGCAAATAAAACTCTATAATATAAATATTTATTAGACAAATCCATTTCCAATTTAATTTGTGGTTTCGTATCTCGTGTCGAAACTTAACCGTGTTGTTAGCAAACTATTTAATATATTATGAATATTAATTTAATATATTTCAAATTTTATTTTTGGGAAAATGACAAGAAAATGATTGTTGAATTCTGAAATGACAAAATGGGCATGTAAATTACTGAAATGACAAAATGGGCATGGGGTATCAATCTGGAATTTAGATAATTCGCCAAAAAGACTGAAATGCCCATGAATTAGTCTGAACTCATGAAGAACAAAGGCATGACACGTAACAAGAGGGAGAGATCAGAAGCTGAAAACGGAGGTGGAGCAGAGTCGAACGCTGAGAAGACGGAAAAGGTAAGGAAAATTTCTCCTAAAATGCTGTTATCTACTCCTCCAACTTTCACCATTCTACAAATCTGATTTTATTACGGTGGAATTGCTTTGTGGGCAACCTGGTTTGTAGTGAGAGAGGGGTTGAATGTGGGTATTACGTAAGAAAGTGGAGCTTAATGATGGGTTTGGGTTTTCAAGTCGGTTTACTGGTACATGGTCTAATGGGGATGGGTTTATGAGTGTAGATGGTTTAAATGAAGGATCTGACCAGGATGAGAGAGTGATACATCGGAAATGGAAAAATGGTGGGAACTGATAACGTGGGCATGAAGTTTGAGGGCTAACAGTAAGCATGAGGTGGTCAGTGTTGTTAAATTCATTATTGGAATTGTGAAATCCCATATTTAAGTTGTCAATGTAGCAAGTGTGCGCGCACGTATTTTGGGTGTTGCATTTTTTGTGAAATCGCAAGAAAAGTTTCGAAATCCTGATAAATGAAATTGATTATTGGGGAACTAAAATATTGATTTATGCTTCTCTGGTGCAGGTTAGGTAGCTTTGATGACATCTAACATTAGGTCAACATCTTCAAAGCGTCTTGCTTGTTACTTTCATGTGGGTGGGAAGTTTGCAGAAAATGGTGATGGTGAAGTTAAGTACTATGGTGGAACTGTCAGGGTAAGAGTGATCAAGGAGGGTATAAGGCTTGAAGATTTGAGGGTTATGATAGGAGAATGGTTTGGTGTAGGTAGTAATGGTTGCGACATTAAATACACATTGGGCTTGAATGATAGGATATTAATAGATCTTATTGATGATGATGAAGTTGACAACCTATTTGAGTATAATGATAGTAATGCACATGTTTACGTAGCAGCTAAAGGTAATGAGAATACGGAGGAAGAAGTGGCTGATCGAAACAGGTAAGTCACAAGTTTCGGATTATGGAAGTTGTTACTTGCGATAATGTTGTTGTTAATATCATAACAAATGTTGTAATTATACATGCAGCATGTCAAAATTGTCAGGACTGTCACAGCAAAATGATGAGCCAATGATTGAGGATGCTGTCGAATGTGTGAATTACATAGCAGCTGAAAATGTTCTTAGCCTGCCATATGCAGTAGAGAGTGCACCAACTCCTTTGCCAGGAATGAATTCCTTGAAATGGAAGACAGTATTGTTAGGATTGAGGCAGACTTTTCCAGATGCGGATGATTTCAAGAAGAAACTACACAAATTCAGCATTGCAAACAAATTTGAGTATAAATATGTGAAGAATTCTAATGCCCATATGTATGTCAAATGCAATGTTGAAGGTTGTCCATGGAGGATCAGTGCAAGAGCAGCTGCAAAGAGTACTCCAGCATTTTTACGTGTAACGACATTCAAAAATGAGCATGTTCATAATGCCCAAGACAATCTTCATGTGACACATGGTGGATCAGCTAGCTTGACATCATCAATTATAATTGAAGAGGTTAGGGATCATATAGACATGCGTCCAAATGATATAAAAAAGAGGTTGGAAAGAGATTATGGTGTGAAGTTGACATACAAGCAAGCATACAGGCCAAGGAAAAAGCGTTGGAGGACATACATGGCAGACCTGATCATTCTTACATGCTTATTCCATGGATATGTGACCGGTTAAAGGAAACCGATGACAAAACAGTGGCAAAATGGGTGGCTGCAAGGAACAACAGATTTGAGCGTGTATTCATAGCCTATGGGTGTTGTATAGAGGGTTTTATTGCTGGTGCTAGACATGTACTGTATATTGATGGAAGTCATTTAAGTGGACCGTATAAGGGGACACTACTTTCAGCGTCGGCTTATGATGCGGACAACGAATTATTACCTTTTGCCATTGCGATTGTGAAGGGAGAGACGCTTGAGGATTGGACATGGTTCTTACATATGATCAAGGAGATAGTTGGGTCAATGCAATTAACAATCATTTCAGACCGACACAATGCAATTATAGGTGCTGTGCAAGCAATATTCGGAGGTGAGCGACATGCGTACTGTTACAGACATGTTAAGGAGAATTTTAGTACACAAATGATCAAGTTAAATAGAGGAAGAAGGAAGACAAGTGGCAACACAAGGGAGGATGGACTGCATTTCCTAGATGCCATTGCATATGCAAGGCTTGACACAGAGTTTGATCAAGCAATGGATAACATGAGACACTTCAATTCCCAATTATTTGAATGGCTTGTCAATCATGGTGATATTCACAAGTGGGCCTTAAGCAAGTTCCCTTTTAAACGATGGGACAACATAACAACAAACCTTACAGAGTCATTCAATGCGTGGATACTAAAGGAGAGAAGATATAATGTTGCCCAACTTATACATGAGCATCGTGAAAAAGTAGCCAAGAAGATGTATGCAGCAAGCATGGCAATGAGCAAATGGAAGAATGGTGTAGGCCCAAATACAAATGCAACATTGATGAAAATGTGGCGAGATTTGCACAGATGTTAAGTGTTCCTTACGGAAGGGGTAGGGTGTGTGTCCATATAGCAAAAGGAGCCATTAATGTTGATCTTGGAAAAGGTGAATGTAGCTGTGCAGCTTGGCAAATGTCAGGCATCCCATGCCCACATGCATGTGCAGCTATCAAGGCCTTGAATTGCAATGTGTATGATTTTGTTGAAGAATGCTACAAGATTACGTCCCAACAAAAGATTTATGGTAGGACGATGACTCTAGTGGTGACAATCGACATGCCAAATCCTAATAACTTCGGCTGCAAGATATAGCAAGTTAAGTGTTTTTGGCACCACCTTTGACTAGTCGACCACCTGGAAGGCCTAGGATAAATAGGCAAGAGTCACAGTTTCAAAACAAGAAGGTCTACCATTGTAGTGCATGCCAGCAAGTTGGCCACACAAGAAGAACATGCAAGAATCTAAACCCAACTTAAGGTTTCATGTCAATACCAACAGGGGTAATTTTTTTGTTATAGGAAAGGAATGACTCTTGAACCCTTTTTAATTTTTTTGGGAGAAGGGTTGATAGGTAGGCTATCTTTTTGTTAATATGTTAACTAGGTAGGAGATGTTCTGTAATTTGAATGACAAGAAAACATTAGGCGGTGGGTTAATCCTAATGTTAACTTGTCATTTGGATATCAGTTATGTAGCTTCTGTCATGGGTGTACTGGTTTTTACTAAATATTATCACGTCAGTGGTCAATTCCTTTACAGATATAGTAAAGTCTGAATGTTAATGTAAAAATCGTATGATGGGTAGGCTATCCTTTTTGTAAATGATATTCACTGGGTAGGATATGTTTTGTAATGTGAATGACGAGGAAACATTAGGTTGGTGGGTTAATCTTATGTTAACTTGTCATTTGAATATAAGTTATGTACCTTCTGTGATGGGCCTACTGGTTTTTGGTAAATATTGTCATTTCAGTGGTAAATTCCATTACACATGTAGTAAAGTCTGAATATTAATGTAGACATCCTATGATGCTCTTTTGGTGTAGTTCTATGCTATTTTGGCAACACAGATGACCTTTTGTTTAATGCCCTCAAGGGAGATGGTGGAAGTTGCCAATGGGTATGACTGGAGTGGTTAATGTCATCAACGATGTTGTTATTCACATTACCAATGTTGTTATTATCATTTCCAGGCTAGTGAAACTCCCTGAAAATATGTTACTTGACTTTGAAATAAAGGAAGTGGAAGTGGAAAAAGCAGAGTAGTAAATATCATCACTAAAGTTGCATTTAATATTTCCAATGTTGTCATTATCATTACGGGGGTAGTAAAATTTCCTGAACAATTTGATGCGTGGGTTTGACTTAAAGGAACCGGAAATGGGAAAAGCAGACTGGTAAATGTCATTATTGAAGTTGCAATTAACATTTCCAATGTTGTCATTATCATTACGGGGGTAGTACAATTTCCTGAAGAATTTGATGCGTGGGTCTCAGTTAAGGGAACCGGAAATGGGAAAAGCAGACTGGTAAATGTCGTTACTGAAGTTGCAATTAACATTACCCATGTTGTCATTATCATTACGGGGGTAGTAAAATTTCCTGAACAATTTGATGCGTGGGTTTGAGTTGGGGGAACCGGAAATGGGAAAAGCAGACTGGTAAATGTCATTATTGAAGTTGCAATTAACATTTTCAATGTTGTCATTATCATTACGGGGGTAGTACAATTTCCTGAAGAATTTGATGCGTGGGTCTCAGTTGGGGGAACCGGAAATGGGAAAAAGCAGATTGGTAAATGTCGTTACTGAAGTTGCAATTAACATTACCCATGTTGTCAGTATCATTACGGGGGTAGTAAAATTTATTGAACAATTTGATGCGTGGGTTTGAGTTGGGGGAACCGGAAATGGAAAAGCAGACTGGTAAATGTCATTATTGAAGTTGCAATTAACATTACCCATGTTGTCAGTATCATTACGGGGGTAGTAAAATTTCCTGAACAATTTGATGCGTGGGTTTGAGTTGGGGGAACCGGAAATGAGACAATTTCCTGAACATGGGGATGCAAATGGGGAAACCATAGTGGTAAATGTCATTACTATAGTTGCAATTTCCCAATTATTTTCACAAATTTATGTTGGGGACGAAAATGAAGTTGCAAAAAGTAATAGCGAGGTGGTAACAATCATTAAAAAAGTTGCAATGTTCAAAAGAATGTTGTCATTATCATTACTGGGTTAGCGAAAATGGATTCAAAAAACATGATTTGGGCTTGAAAGACTTCAGATGCAAATGGCAACAGCGATTGGGTAACTATCATTATAGAGGTTGCAATTCTCAATCCGAAAGTTGTTAATCCTATTACTTGTGTAGTGAACCTGGGTCCAAGTGGATGTAATTTGGGGCACAAATAATCAACTTGTGATTATCATCACGGAAGTCACATGGCATGTTGTAAATACTATAACTTTTTTACTCAAATTATCCCAAAAAGGATTGCAATTAGGCCAACAACTGGCAGCCACTTAGTACCTCCAACCATAAGTCAAATATTAAGACTTCAAACTAACACTCCTTTTACAAATACTATATGCCTAATCTACAAAATGTCTCCTCTATCACAGATGGCGTCTTTTGGTCAGTGTGGTGGCTTGGGTTGATGAAAGCAAGCTTAATGCTTCATCACGTCTTGAATTAAGCTCATGATTCACTAGCCACCACATGAGGTTTCGTCGGAATTCAGCCACTTGTTCATCCGTATAGTGAAGTATCTCACCGGGCTTCCATTTACTCAACCATATTAATACATGAACGCCACAGTCTCACCTGCACATCAAAACATCCCAACGATGTAAAAGAATGAAAAATAACACATGGGCTGCTTTGAGACGTAATAATATCAACAACATAAAACCACTCACAGATTGTTTTGTTGCGGAGCAGGAGCCCAAATGATATCATCATTTTTCTTCCCAGTGGCATTAGGCTTAACTATCTCAATAATGTCATAAAATCTATTCCTGTGCACAATATCATTACGCAATTGTAAATAAAAGGTAATGAAATGTCAATCATAGAAGATGAGTTGTATTATCCTTACACATTCAGTGACCACGGTCGTCAATGTCATCAATAATTACACCCTTCTTCTTGCTCTTATTCTTACCCTCTAAATTGGCTTCATTGAGTCCAGCACATAGAAATTCATTGTGCTAGGCTCAAGCACAACACAGAACCAGTGAGCGCCAACAAGTATGGGTCAAAGATCAAATCACATTCTCTTATGTTGTAGCCTACATTTTCAGGTAAAAATTGTTCTTCCGTTTTGTAGCATCCCACAGCTTTGGGTTAGCTCCCATTATTGCCTAAAACATGAACATTTTAGTCATTTATCAATATCAATCGACAAAAAAACTAACATCTCAGCAAGCTTACCATAAAATCAGCATAAAAAAATGTGCTGCTTCACCTGCCCTTTTTTCCATATCAGCCATTAGAGTCTTGCACACAGTTGATCATGGGGGTCTTCATCGCCAAATGCATCATCATCTCCCTTATCATCATCTAGGACGTCAATAGGGTCCTCATCATCTGTGGTCACATTATTTTCCTCTATCCTTATCTAGCTCATCTTCCATTGCACTTATAAGCCTCCTAGTGCTTAATTCGATCTGAGCCATCAATCGTCCGTGCAACTTCTGTAACTCCTGCAGCAAACAATTTAAAATGAGTAAACACTTTTTTCATGAGATTATTTGCTAATGAGAATGAAAATTAGTAACGAAAGCACATACCGGGTGTAAATGACCCACACTTATGCATTTTCCTTCATCCTTCCCACTTCTATCCATACTTCCCTTGCCCTTATACAGTAAACCCCTCTTGCTTTCCCTATCCTTCTTTTCCAGCTTCCTTATCCTCTCATCAGTCCAGAATTGAATGGCATTTAGGGACCATCTCTCAATAGTTTTGGATAGTGGGAAGTGCTCAGCAAAATATAACTACAACAGTAAATCATTAACTTGCCAATTCCACAAATAAAGAACACAATAACTTAGAAGCATAAGTCAGAAATACATACCAACAGGAGGTAGATGCATCCTCCCACATTGCAGCTTCCTTCATCTTCGTCTTTCTTTGCTTTTGTGTACACTTTCACATAATCTCCCATCTCTTTCCACAAGTGCTTCACAATGTACGTGGCCCAATCAAATTGGTGAAATCCCTTCATGGTACAGCACATGACTTTTATTAGCTTGTCACTCACAGTTGTTTGTGAAGTAGGAGTTAAAAAACTCCCAAGTGTGTACAGCATAAACAGGAACTCAAACTCATCTTTCTTCTACCCAGATTTAATGTCATTGAGTATCTTCGTATAAGGGACTTTACCAAATTCCTCCTTCAACTTCTGGTATGTCTCATCATCATCACATACGTCCATTTTTACCTTCTCCCCTGTGTGGGGTACACCCAACAAGTTTGCAACATCATTTGCTTCTATTTCCTTTATTATCCCTCTTATTAGAAATTGATGGTAGGCGGATCATATGCTTGGAGAACACATACTATGAGGTCACGAGGGAGTCTCTCACATCCAATGTCAAGTAAATTGCCAAAGCCTAAATTTTGTACCCTCACTTTCAAATCTTCATCATCTTTTATGAAGTCCACTAATGACTTAAATTGCCGAACCGAGCAACGAGTGCTAAAAGCCACTTTTTTCTTCCTCTTCTTCTTCATCCCTTCCTTTCTTGATTGCTTCACCCTATCACTGTATTTCTTCTGCTCCTCTGGTGTCAACTGCTTCCATGCCTTTGATGCCTTTTTTGCTTGTTCAGACATATTCTTAAACTTCTCCCCACCCTTAAGAAATTCTCGTCTAAACAACATGTAGCGATTCTTAACTTCTTCACTTGGCCCTCCTTCTACAACAAGCATAAATAACTAAATCTGGTCAATTGAACAGCTCAACTTTCTTTGCATTTCAAAAAAGTTGTCATTACCATTTCCAGTGTAGTCATTCACATTATA